TAGGCTCGCCTGCTCCCTTGCTGGCAGTGGCGAAGGAGGAGGAAGGGAGGCTGGATGAGAGGTGGTTGCTCCAGGAGATGGCCCCATCCTAGGTCTGCTCCTTGTTGTAGACATCCGTCCTCCGAGCGGAACAGCTGTGCCTGCTGTTAGCTAGAAGGCTATTGATGTTGGCTATTGTCCCCTCAAAGCGGGAGGGGTGGGGAGGGCCACCGGACCCTTCCAGCCCCTCCGAGTCAGCTGTATGTTATTCTGCACTAATTGCATGTGTCCTCAGGGTCTGAGGAGGTACTAGAGTATATAGGCTGGGGAAGGTTAACTGGAGGAAATCCATCTCTGCAGCCATCATGGGTGATGGGTGAAGACTTTCCACTGCATCTGTTTTGGGGCCCCCCATGCTCCTGTCAGTCAGTAGCCCCTCACACATGCTCTGTGAGTAAATCCGATAAACTCTTTTCAGGGAATCTACTTTGGTGTGCCCTTGGGACATTACAAGGAGGGTGTAGATGTTGTTTACGTCTCCCTAAGGGAGATGTAACCCTTTGTGACCCCTGTCCTTGGGACCAAGTTAAAGGTCTCATGGACCCTGAGGAGACTGAGGTGGATGACCTTATGTCGATCTCCCAATCCTGCCCAGCACAGTGTGTGAGAACACTGCCCAAGGAAGGGCCTGGTCAGGGCCTGCAGCAGTGACCCCACCAGACCCCCATCATCCCTCATGCCCGGCTTGCACCTTGTTCCCTGCTCTCCTTCCTGATATTAAACCTAAGGTTATGGAGAGAGGGGTTATCATAGAGACTGCTAGTCTCTCCTCAAATCCATTCCCTCTATGCATGACTTTGTCCCTGCCCCCATAAACAACAGAAATGCATTGCTCCTAGTTCTGGAGGCTGAAAGTCCAAGATCACAGTGCTGGTGGATTCTGTCAGGTGAAGCCAGGTCTTCATAAGCTGTGCTGTGTCATTACAGGGAGGAAGAAGGAAGAAGCAAGCAGGTCCCTCCAGACTTTTTTATTTTTACTTTATTTAAATATTTATTTATTTATTTAGTTGTTAGTTAGTTAGTTAGTTAGTTAGTTAGAGACCAGGTCTCATGCAATCCAAGCTGGTCCCCACTGTGTAGCTGAGGACAACCTTGAACTTCTGATCCTCCTGCCTCTACCTCCCAAGTGCTGAGATTACCGGCAGGCCACCAGGCCCCACCCTCCAGCTTTTTGGTGTGTATGTTTGCATGTTGTAATGAGGAGGGCATAACGAGATACACATGGAAGTGAGAGGATAACTTTGGACAACTTTGTAGTGTTGGTTCTCTCCTTTCACCTTGGGTTAACAGATTTGCATGGCAAGTACCTTTACCTGTCAGACCTCCCCCAATCCTTTAAAGGGTGCTAATTGCTTCTTCATGTCCCCACCTTTTGATGACCACTGCACTTGGGAGTGTTTCAACCAGTGAATTCGTAGAGGAGACAAATACTATCCCTCAGACCAAAGCAATCATAGAAGAACATGAATAAGAAATAGAAGAGCAGAATTCATGGATCAGAAAAGAGAACAGGGAAAATACAAGTTGGGATGCCCTGATGGAGGCATTAGGGGTGGGGTCTATGAATCACCCTCCCCAGGCTCTATGTCAGTCCCCTGGCATCTATCTGAGCAGGGCTACATGACTAGTTCTTGCCCAAGGGGTATAGGTGCGCCTTGCCCATCCTGTGTCACTTGAGTCTATTAACAGCTGTCTATGTCTGGAAGACAATGGCTTCTCAGACTGGGAGGAGCCTGGGCCTGGATGACTATGTGGACCAGAAGCTCCAGAAAGCTACCCTCTGATTAGAATTGTTTATTACAGCAACCAGCCTACTCTGACTGGAACCTGTTTCTCAATTCAGAGAAAAGAGAGCCACTAGTGTGGGTAAAGGAGCTAGCGAAGGGTTCACGAACTCCTGGGCAGCAGGCAGCCAGCTTGGAGGTCCCTCCTGGTCTCTTGTTCGTCTTCAGCTCTCTGTGCCCCTGTACAGCAGCTCCCTATGGCCAGTGTAGATCATGGGCTACTCCCTGAGCACAGCACTCGCTCCCCCAACTCACGCTTGCCAATCAACCTAGAACACCCGCCCTGCTCACCACCTTTCAGATGGAACCTCTTAACTACCACCTCTGGGTTGATGTCAAGTGGAGAGGTCCAAGATAGCCCTTGGCACACCTGAGCTGACAGCTCTGTCTCCTATTGTAGCATAAGTGATGTTTCTCTCTGGGGTCTTTTTTTCAAATTTGATTTATTTTTTATTATGTGCATAAGTATTTTGTCTGTATGTATATAAGTGCACCATGTATGTACAATGCCCATGGAGACCAGAAGAGCGATTGGATCCCCTGCAACTGTAGTCTTCTGCAAGAGCAGCCAGTGCTCTTAACCACTGAGCCATCTCTCCAGCCCCCTCTCTGGGGTCTTCATTGTCCTGTGTAATCATGAAGTCTTCAGTGATGATGTCATGATCACACTTCCTGGGTTCACAGGCAGAACGCAGCGTGGTGCTGTCTGGACTAGGTAGCTAGTAAATATTTGTTAGAGGGAAGGAAAGAAGGGAAGTGAGAGTTAATGAAATCACAAACAAATGAATAGCCTCCTCGGCCAGATTTTGAAATCTCCGCCATGGGGCTTATTGCCTTGCTCCTTATTTCTGACACTTGTAACCGCAGAGCCCCATTCTGAATTGATTGGTCTGTCCAAAAAGTTGTTACTATGCTGGGCTTCACTAATTCCTCAGCCCCCAATCCCCTGTCAGGGCCCAGATGAAATACCACCTCCTCCCACAGGCTCTGTGATGACTTCTTTCTCAACCTCTTGAACATGAAAGGCGTTTTTAGAGCGTCAGTCCTCTGCACTGAGCAGATTAATCCTCATCATCACTGGGTGCTGTTTCCTGAGGTTTATAATCAGCTTGCATGTGTTCTTTGGACTCCAAGATCCCCATGAGCCACATTTTCCCCAGCATGGAGCAAACAGATCAGAATCACAAGCATCTACTGCCAGCTCCTGCTTCTTGCTCCTTTTGTCAGTTTTGAGTCAGCTTAGATGGAGACCAAACACAGACATCTCCTAATCTATCTTTCTGTTCCTCTTTCTCCATTTGGATGGATCTGGTGGGCTTGGTCCACTGACTTCTGGAATCTGCACAGTCAAGACAAGTTTCTCTGGTTCTAACAGTTCAGTAAGAACCGTCTAAAACCAACCCCAGCCCCACCTCAGTCTTGTTCTTCTTTTACGGTAAACTGTACTTTTGCTGGCGATGTCTTCAGGAGCTGGAACTTGGGCTAGGCCTTGGGTGGTTTGGAGAAGAGGAGAAAAGCTCTCATACCTGAAAGGCGGGGTGGGAGAAGGCATGTGCGAAAGGGGGGCATTGTGTGGTAGTGGCCCCAGAGGGCAGCAGGCAAGTCCCACTAGAGCTGAGAGCTCTAGTGGAGGAGGAAGGTACGTGATGAGTTTGGACCTGGCTGATGTGGAACCAGGTTCTCTAGTGAAAGCAGTGCTTAGGGAACTGATTTGTCTCTGACTCCCTTTGCCCACCTGACAGGCTCTGGCTCTGTTCTCCCAGAGTGTGCAAATTACTTGTATCATTACCTTGGCCAAAAATAATTTGGGAGGTTAACCTGCTTTGTTATCGTTTTGGTCTTTATGAGACAGGGTCTCCCTGTAGTCCCAGCTAGCCTGGACCTCACTATATAGACCAGGCTGGCCTCGAACTCACAGAGATCCACCTGCCTCTGCCTTCCAAGTGCTGGGATCAAAGGCATGTACCACCGTGCCCGGCTGGTTAACCTGCTTTGAAATGCATGACATGTATTCCAAAATTAAACAAGAGTTTTGTTATCCAGGCTACTCTTTCCCTTCTTTCAGTGTGGGTTTTGGAAAGTCCATAGCAATTATCATTAGAATTCAATGATGACTTAATTCTGTACCCTGAGAGGTTCAGTGCAAGCTCCCCTTCCTTCCTGGGCCTGGTGCTTGCTTGCAGAGATATGCAAAAAAAAAGCGTTTTTAAAGACAGGGTTCTGTGTAGCCCAAGTGAGCCTTAAGCTCCCTATGGTAGTTAAGGATGATGTAATCCTCTTGCCTCCACCTCCCAAGTGCTGGGATTACATGTATGCACCACACCTGGTTTTATGCAGCACTAAGGCTGCATAGGGATTTATGCAGTGCCCAGGCTTCGTGGATGCTAGAACAGCACTCTGCCAACCAAGCTGCATCCCCAGTCCTCCCCACCCCATGCATATATTTTATCAGCCCCATTACCACCAAGTCCCCTGAAGGACTGCAGGAGATTGGTGAGCCACTGTTGCTTTGCACTCCAGTTTCTCATAAATTAGAATTGCTGTGCAGAGTGGTGATCAGAATAAACAAACAGAAAGGATATTAAGGTGCACCAATAATCACTGGTGACCTCAGCAATTTTATTAACAAATTTATTTCCCTAATTGGGGAGCATAGCTCAGCGCGGACTCCAGGGCATTGTATTAAGTTTCCATGCCGCAGGAGAAGGAATTCATTAGGCCCATTTGCTCTGGTTTTGTATTTACTCTTGTCCACCAGTCTTGTAAACATCGCCCTGGGTTTCCGTCGCACTCCAGGTTCCTTGGTTCTGATCCCCCCTACTCCTCTCCCCCCAAATTAATAGATGCAGGAGAATACAGTTTAATACCAGTGGCTCTGTGGGTACACTCTGCCCCCACTGGAAGCTGCATTTTGTGGTCAGAGTTGTTCTGTGATCACAGACTAGTTCCAACAGGCCTGAGAAGTCGGTGGAGACCCTGTCCCCCACTTGCCAAGAGGGAGTCAGGGTCAGCCTGGACCTTTCTTTGCCTACTCGTGTTTATTATTGCTGTTATTATTTGGTTTTTTTTGTTTGTTTGTTTTGTTTTTTGATCTTTTTGAGACAGGGTCTCCCTGTAGCCCCAGCTGGCCTGGATTTGCTATGGAGACCAGGCTGGCCTCGAACTCATAGAGATACACCTGCCTCTGCCTCCTGAGTGCTGGGATTAAAGGCGTATGCCACCATGCCTAGCCTATTGCTGTTATTCTTAATCTGCAGTCCTGGAGACTGAACCCAGGGCCTCACACATCCACTGAGCTACAGCCTCCAGCAGGATGCTCTTGTCCACTACGAACCCGGGTACAAAGCAGGTGGGATAGACAAACGTGTTCACCTCCTCCTGCCCCTGTCTACTTGTCATAGAAGGCAAGAGGCATTCAGTAACTCTGTCCATGGAGTGGCCGATCCACACAGCATGTGGCAACCCATTCTTCAAGGTTTCTTCCAGGAGAGATTTTTTTCCCCTCTCATGGCTTTGGAGAACTAAGATATGATAAGAAAACATTCAGGGATGCAGATACCCTGCAGCATTGCAGTGCTGGCCTCTGACCCAGGCTGCACCCTCCGGTGACTTCCACAGTGCTGCCACTGTCTGCTCCGAGATGAGGCCCACACTGCAGAAGAGGCCGGGGGAGGGGGCTGCCTGCAGAACAGATCTCTGTAGCAGCTGTCACTATCATCTGCCATGCGTAGAGATAGATGGCTTTTGAAGGTAGATATGATTATTACAAGACCTTTCTGGGCGGGGGCGGGGGGCAGATCTAGCCGACCATAGCTTGGGTCCCTTTGCAAAATCTGTAGCCCAGAAAATTACAGAGAGTTCTAAGAAATTTCATTCTCCCTCTTGGATATCCCGCAGGATCCCAATAAGGTTTTCCAGGCCAAAAATATAGCCAGAATCTGGTCCCTCATACGTGGTATGTTTGTTCCAGGAGCCCTTGTATGTTGTGTGAGCGAAGTCAATCATACGGATGTCGACTTTGGAGGGGTTACCCAGAGTGCTGCTGTAGGCCTCCTGAGGGGTTCTTTCTGGAGGCTCCTGCCCATCGTAAATGATGAGGAGGGAGCTGGAGTAGAAACGGTAGGAGCTCTGGCTCCGGATGACAGTGAGGAGCTCCTGAAGCCGGCACAGGATGGGCCCCAGGAGCTCCCTGCGCAGTCGGGTTCCATCATGCAGGAACTGGGAAAGGGCTTGTCTGAAGCCCTGCACTGAGAGCTTCCTTCCATAGTATTTGTCCTTGCAGAGAAAACGCTTCTTATCCGTTTGATAAACCTTACATTAGAAAGAGAAAGAAAATGTGAAGACCAGACAGCAAATGTGAAAAGAACAACAATCACTCCTGGGGCTGGAGGAGTGGCTCAGCTGATAGAATGCTTGTTTAGCATACAGGAGAATCCTATTTTCTTTTATGTGTATGAGTGTGTTGCCTGCATGTATGTAAGTGCACCTGTGTGTGCAATGACCATGGTGGTGAGAGGAGGCCATCAGATCCTCTGGAACTGGAGTTAAGGCCGGTTGTTCGCCGCCATGTGGGAGCTGGGAATCCAACGTGGGTCCTCTGCAAGAGTAGCCGGTGCTCTTAACTGCTGAGTCATCTCTCCAGCCCCCAGGAAGATCCTATCTTCAATCCCTAGCATAAACTGGGCCTGGTGGTGCACACCTATAATCCCAGCACGTGGAAGTTACAGGCAGGTGAATCAAAAGTTCAAAGACATCCTCAGCTACATAGTGAGTTTGGGGCCAGCCTATGCTACATGAGATCCTGTCTAACCTAATGAAACAACAAAAAGAAATCTCTGCTACAGTGATGACATACAAGCTCTCATAATATATGAAGCGATTTTCAGGAGATGGGGAGGAGTGGCTGAGATGCGCTGGAGATGGCCTTCCATCGTGCCCCACTGTGGCCTGAACATTTTAAAGCCCTCTGCATGTAAGTCTAGTCATAATCCAAGGTCCCAAAATTCTTCACCCGTAGAGGTGACTCTCCGAACACCAGGCAGAGGTTTGTATCACCTTTCTTGTGAATTTCCGGTGTCAACATCCAAGCTGTGATTTAAGTCTTGCTTGGCTTCTGGCCCTCTTGAATTCAAGTATTAGCAAGCCCAAGCTGGAAGGCTGCCGTAAGAACCTGAAAATTCATCCAATGGACTTGGAAAGCCAGCTGGATTAAATTCTCCCCAAACAAAGTTGATAAAATTCCTTTCTGGCAGATTTTAAGGGAGTGGGAATGGTTCCTGAGGGGGAGTGGGGTGAACTGTTTGGAGGTAAAGAAACTGGCTGGATCAGATGTAGGTGGGCACTCAGGCAGCAAGCACAGCTGCTGAGACCCTGAGATGGGGAGAGAGGTGCACAGCCTCCCTGAAGGGCGAGTGGTTCCCTTCTTCTTTGCCCACATCTCTACTTGACAGGTCTTAGCCACTAGAAGGTAGCAGATGGAGGGGAGATGCTGATGGGGGAGAGATGCTGATGGGGGCACCTTCCAGACAACGTAGAAGGCAGCATAGGCTGAGTCAAAAGCCAGCAGCTGCCACAGCCAGAGGGGAACTTGGCACACTTGGGCAGTGCCATCCGCACCTGGCCAAAAGTTTCTGGGGCCTTTCTTGCCTTTACAGCACATGGTGTGTTCCCATTGAAAAACAAATCAGAAAGATAGGATGGGTTTGGTGTTGCGTTGGGAGGGCTGATTGTGGGCGGGTGATCAGCCGCTAAATTAGCCTTCGTAAACACAAGACAGGCATCACTTTCTAGATAAATCAGATCAATTGCAGAAGGTTGGAGGTCCAGAGAGAGATTCCATTTACTCCACAAATCATCCCACTCTATTCTCTTGAGGACTGTGTTCCAAGCCTTCCCAGGGACATCTGTGCAATGAATTTATAGACTCGGCTTCCAGCTTCAAGGGGTGGCAGTTTCAATTAAGGAAAGCTCTAACATTTACCATCAAAGCAGAATCTGGTTTTGCTTTGAGTTGACGAACTGTCAGAGGGAAGGGGTGGAGGAGTGGTATTCCTGCCTGTTTTCCTACAGCCCAGCCAGGGCCATGTAAGAGCAGCAACAGTGGGGCATGGCGCCCTGACCGTCAGGAAATGAGCCAGCCCTGTGACTGGGTACAATGGGTTCCCACCTTCCCTCTTGTATAACCCAACTAGGCAGCAAAAAGGAGTAGAAAGGTTGGATGCAGAAGAGGACTAATGAGAATTCAAACAGGCTGCTACTGCATCTGAAGGGGCCAGGCTTGGCTCCATCAGGCCAGAGAATGTGGGGCCAGGTGTACCTTCTTAGCTCTTCTCCAGCTCCTACCCCTGCTTTGTTGTTAAAGATCTTTCCCAACACAGCAGGACCCATGAGGCCACAGCACAAAATTTCAGCTGCTAGAACTATGACACTGAGTTTTAGACTACGCAGTGTGAGGGCTGGGGATGTAGCGCAGTGGCAGAATGCTTATCTACCCATCAGGGCTCTGGGTTCCATCCCCAGCACTACAAAAAATAGCCTAAGGCTATGCAAGGTGGCACACGCCTATAATTCTGGCACTCAGGAGGTGAAAGCCAGAGGATCAAAGTCCAAGGTCAGTCTTGATTACGTATCAAGTTTGAGTCCAACCTGGGCTATATGAGATCCTGTCTCAAACAAAACAGGGCTGAGACATGGCTCAGTCGTTAGAGTACTGGCTGCTCTGGCAAAGGACCCAGGTTTAGTTCCCAGCACCCATATGATGACTAACAACTGTCTGTAACTCCAGTTTCACAGGATGCCCTCTTCTGGCCTCCACAGACTTTGCATGCATGTGGTATACTTACATACATGCAGGCAAACTGCTCATACACATAAAATTAAAAAATAAACAGCTTGGGAGGGGTGGTGCATACCTTTGATCCCAGCACTTGGGAGGCAGAGGCAGGTGGATCTCTGTGAGTTCAAGGCCAGCCTGGTCTACATAGTGAGTTCCAGGTCAGCTGAGGCTACAGGGAGACCCTGTCTCAAAAAGACCAAAAAATTAAAAAAATATATAAATAAGTAAATAAACAGATACATTTAAAACAAACAAAAAAACCCCAAAGGGACTGGGTGTGGTAGCACATGCCTTTAATCCCAGCAGTTGGGAGGCAGAGGCAGGCAGATCTCTGTAAGAGGGAGTCCAGCCTGGTCTATATAGCAAGTTCCAGGCCAGCTGGGGTTATAGGGACCCTGTCTCAAAACAAAACCGCCAGCATGTCACAGACTAAAGACTGCTTCTACTTGCTAAGAAAGTAGTCTCCAACGTCCTTGTTGCTCCCTCCCCGTGGTGAGCTCCTTGGGGAGCGAGGGGTGGGGATGACAGGCCTGTGTGCCTGCTAGGCTGCCAGCTCCTGACCCCCGCAACAGGCCCTCTGCACCTACCTGCATGCCGCAGACACGCACGCCCAGGCAGGCTGAGGTGCTCTGCGCACACTTCTTCATGTGACGGGCCTTCTTCTCCTCAGATGCATCATCCCCGTGCTGCTGGGTCCCCATCTTCAGATCCAGAATGCAGGGCTGAGTGTACTGTGACACCACATTTTCTAGCAGCAGGAACCCTGGACACACTAAGTTAAGGAGGCTCTGGGGATATCCTTTAGCAGCATCTGAGGCTGCCTGAAAGTTCCCATTTCCCACCTTACCCAAGGGCTTGGCTATTAACAATGCAAACGTGTTTCCTGGCAGACTGCTTTAATAAGTCCATTTACTTAGGTGGAGTTTATGAGAACCTTTTTCCATTTTGCTCTGAGGTTGAAATTTAAATGCAGGCGTGAAATCCCTAGCAGGCCATGCCCAATTTACATTTTATGGCAGAAAATCATAGGGTTGAAAGCTCCAGTCACTGAACGGGCCAGTACCTTTTGGGACAAAGGGGTTGATGTTCGCTTCAGAGATGAGTTGCAGAAATATTAATTTTGGTGGAGTGATTATCCTCCAAAAGCTTCTTAGGGATTAGGGCGGCAGATGTGTGTAGTAAAGACGGCAGGAGGAGCTGGCTGCCCTTTGCAGGAAGGCCGTGGAGCTACCTAAACTTGCTCACTGAGTACACGGCCCTGTGTGGGGAGTGGGGAGGGTCTGCCTCTCCTTGGGGTCCTCTAATGAAGGACTTGTCCCCACCCCCCAAATTCTATGGGCTGTAAAGAGGGACAGAAGAGAATTCAGAGCTGGGGACTCGCTGGTCCTCTGAGCTTCCTCCTGTTCCCATTCGGACTTCCTGTTCCCCCATGGAGACTCAGCCCCACCTCATCCCTGCTGCTGCAGGTAGGGACAGGCAGGGGCCCAGCAGAAAGACTGCTTAGCTTGGTTCCTAGTCAGATGTCCCCGCTCTATCCTTTGGAGTCTTCCTTTAAAGGGATCTGATTTATTCTAGATCCTGGGCTTGTGGGTTCATGCTTTCAAATGACCCCTATATCTCTCTGTCCCCACCCATCTCCTTGTGTGTGTGTGTGTGTGTGTGTGTGTCTGTCTGTCTGTCTGTCTCCCCTTACCACCCATCCCATGACTGTTCTATCTCTTCCTCTTTCTGCTTCCCTGGCCCCTTCAGCTCCCACCGGGCCAGGGAACTGTGTGCAGCCACAAGGATACGGCACCGCTTGTCCTCAGGGCACTCAGAGCACAGGCGGGTCAGGTGGGCCTGGTGGCAGTGCAGGCCCCAGGGGTTGAAGTTCCTCCTCTCCACCTGGTTACCATTAGCGCCTTCCACTTGGGTGCTGAGGGGGAAGTTGGACCTCAGGAGCACCTTGGCTGTGCTGTGGACAAGGGAAGCATTCGAAGATAGTCCCGGCAACAGTGGCCAGAGGTCGGAGAAGGGGTGCTTATTCCCACCACCCTGCTTTTTGAGACAGGCTCTGACAAAGTCGCCCAGGCTACTACTACATAGGATACTCTTACCAAGCCACCAGAAATACCATAGGCTCCTGAGTGCCTCCCTGCTCAACCTGGGTACCTGGGACCAGACTTGGCTTTTTGCTCCCTGCCCTCCCCCGCAAGGGGGCTTTGATGATTTAGGTCCAGTCCTAGGTAGTAGGGATTATGAATGATCTTAGAGGATAAGGGTGGGGGAGAGGACCCCACACACACACCTGGAATCCTCTGGACTTATGTCCTGGTTACATCCTTGAGACCTCAAAATCCCATACAGACTGTGCCCCCTCTACATCTCAGCCCAGCTGCAAGTGGAGATAGCCCGTTGCTTCCTGACGCCAAGCCAAGAACTTAATTAGATCTGTGACTCTGGAGGGAAGGGTGCCATTGTTACTGTATTGGCTCCTTTTGTTTCCCATAAATGTTTTAAACCCCAGAGACCCTTTCAACCCTGAAAAGTCAGCTAATGTTATCAGAGTGCCTCCTCCACCCCCCAGACCTCTCTGAAGTCCTCAGGCCCCTAGGGCCTCCTTTCTCTTCAGGGACTCCCCCTCCTTGTCCCTTCCCCACCGACACCTAAGGGAAGAGCTGACCAGAAGAAATTACGCACACTTTGTCTCCATAAACTATTCTGGGGTTTCTGTCTGCATCTTCTCCCTCAGAGACACTTCATGGTCTCAGTGAAACAGGTATTTAATTAAACAAGTAGGCACAAAATACTTGCTCTGCCTCTGCGAAACTTGTGAGCTAAACCACGTGTCAATCCCACCCCCTCCCCAGGAGCAACGGAGGAGAAAATCCATCCCTTTCTTTGGCCACATTGGTAATTCTAGACAGATCCTTTGTCTGAATTTCTCATTTTCTCAGAGCCAACCCTCCTGTGGAATGGTTGGCCTTGGGCACAGGTAGGCACAGGGACAAAACCCTACTTTCTGTCACCTGCCCAGTGACTCTCACCTCTCCTTGAATGAATGGGCCAGTTGGACCAGGGGACGTGGGCCGCCACTGCTACCAGTGGTCTGTTGGAGTGTCTGCCACATGGCCACCGCAGCCGATTCTGAGGAAACTGGGAAGGACTCCTGGTTCTCCTTCAGCGGGTGGGCAACCAGGCTGAGGTGGCCCCTGCTGTCTCTCTGGAGGCGCACTGTGATGGTACCTGCAGGACACAGGAGGAAGGAGCACACTGGACCATAGGTCATGGGTGACAGCCATTGAGTTTAGTTTACTAGCCCTGGGCAGCCTCCTTCTCTCCCCAGCTCCTCTTGCAAGGAAGAGTCTCAGACAAGTGTGGTTTTGCCTGAACCTGGTCTTGGTGCTGAATGTGGAGCCTTGCTGTGGAGCTTGTGCGAAGTAACCCGGATGATGGAGGTACCAGCTCTGCTTCACCCCACTTCTCACCCCTTGCTACTAACACAGCCAGCCCTGTCCCTTTGTTCTAGAATTGGGTTCCTGCCTTCACAATTGTACCTTCCCGTCACATCAGGGTCAGTCAACCCAACTGTGGCCAGCCTGGAGCTCCTCAGAGCTGGTTCTCCATCAAGGTAAGTCCCCCCCATCTCCCATCTCCAGGGGGCCCCTCCCCTTCCCCCGTTCCTCCTCATCTCTGTCTATCATCTCTTTCCCTTCATCTGTCCTCATCCAACGAGCCTCTTCCAGGCTTTCCAGAGGCAGCTGCTGGATTCGGGACTCTATCCCCTAGTCCTCTCCTCGGCCTTTTACACTGGTACCTGATTGTTATCTTTGGTCAGATACATCCACACATGGAGATTTTGAGTAGATATGGTTCTCCAAGGAAACTAGTCTGAAGAGCTCTCCCTAACATGTGGTACCTCCTGACAGCACAGCTGGTAATCAAGGCAGGAACACTGCAGGCTGTGTGGGCAAGGATCCCCCAGAAGCTCATCCAATGCATAGCTGTTTTGTATTCTCCTCAGACACAAAGTGGGCCGCAAAGCTAGCTGTGATAGGCACGTGAGCGTTCCTTGGTCACCCTGTGGAGTCCTTGTCATGATGGAGGAGCCAGAGCCTGCTTCTGTGGGCATCTCCTGCTATCTGCCTGGCCTTGCCATAGAGCCGTGCCACAGACAGGCCTCACAGGATTCTTTGAGAGCAGGACACCTGGAGAACTTGTCATCCTCTGCTTTCTGCCCTCCCCCTCAGCTGCTCCACTTGCTTGGTGCTGAGGAGATCCTGGTCAGTGCTCTGATGGCCCCCTATGCGCTGCTTCCCAATGACTGGTCAGTGGGGCCGTGGGAGGGTTGGGGGAGGAAGGCCAAGTACTTATTCTACTGTGGTGTGCGTGGGTCTGTGTTCAGACACTGTTGTGTTCCCCTAAGGGCCCGAGGGGGCGGGCTGCAGGTCCTGAGTGCACCCTCAAGCCTGTATGCATTCTTTAAATAGCTCCTTGCAAAAACTCTCATGAATACAGTTTGTTTTCGGTTGGGACTCTAACAGAGAGGAGGCTGGGCCATGTGTTTTTGTGTGCTCCACGCTCATTTTCTCCCCTGGTCCCTTGGTCACATCCTCAGCCTGAGTGGCTATTCTTACTGAAACTGCAGGGACTGGTGCTGGTTTTCACCCTGGAGCAGGGGTGACTTTTCCCAAGGCCACTCTACAATTCAGCATGTAGCTCTCTCTCCAGAGCCACCTACACTATAGTCAGTGGACTCCCTGGGTCAGTCCTGTCATCTCAGATTCCCAGTGCCCTAATTTTGTAGCCTGGGAGGGACATTCAGTTCTTTCTAACTCCCTGAAAAAACTCTGCTTTTCCTCAGCCCCTTCCAGACCCCAGTGTCCTGTGAAGTCACAACAATAGCAGTAATACTTACGGTATTCTAGGTTACCTGACACCAGTGTTCATCTTGAACCAAGCCATGCTCTGTACATGAGAACGGCCGGCTGGGGACATGATCACAACAGTGACCATTTTCTCATCTCCACCTACCGGGCTGGCACCGTTTGCTTTTCCTTTGTGATTTCTAAGTTACAACACACCCGTAAGGCTGTTGATGGTGCAAGCAAGGCTCGAGGAGTCTGAACCAAGGTCACACAGCGAGTGTGGGATGGAGCTCTAAGAGGGCCACACAATAATACATGGGCACTGAAGAAGGGACACTCTATGACATAGTGCGGAGGGCTCCATAGGGAAAGTCTGAGATCATTACACTATGTTTACCCATGCGTGCATGAGAGACACTCCTGCTGTGTCCCACGTACACCTGCTCTGGCCATTCTGTTCCGTGGACGGGACAGAAAAGCCACAAGTCCACTCCCTTGGGAGAGCGCTGTCGTCACAGAGGGCTGGAGCTTGGGGTTTATGTTTCCAGCCCTGAGTCCTTGGGTAGGAGGTTGCTATGTTTGTTCTAGGGAGAACTGACCTTCTAGAAGCCAGTGTCAGACCTTTGTGAGGAGAGAAGAGAGTTAATTGGCCCTTGTATATGTCCTGGGGCAAGTTCATGTCCTTTTAGCTTGGGGGGGTTGTTCCAGGAAGTTACACCAGTGCCCTTTGGGGTCTTGTAAAGTTCACATTCCATCTGGCAGCCCCCTGGCCTTTTCTACTTGAGGGGCTATGGTGACATGCCTGCTGGAAAACAGTTCTGGGTGAATTGTGCCCAGGAGGCCTCCCTGGAGAGACAAGAACATGACCTTCCCTACGTCCCCAGGCTGTTCTTGTCTGAGAGCCTGCACAAAGGCAGGCGAGTGGAGGTGCAAATAACCCCCATCCAATAAAACCCAAAAGTCATTTCCATTTCTCATAATGTCAGAGCTTCACCGCCAGCTCCACGTCCCCACAGTTCATCTTTCTGTAGGCCTCTGATGGGCTCGCTGTCCGGCCGCTCCTAGCTCCTGTGCCCTCCGTTTCTCCTCTCTCACCCAGCTGGGACTCAGCTCAGGTCTGCTCCGAAGTCAGCCCACCAAGAGGGGGTTCTCAGCTGGGATCTCCCTTGAGAACAAGCCCAGGCTGCCTGCCATTGACCTAGAACTCCTTGGTGCCTGGGCTGTTGCTGTATAGTCAGGAGCCACTGTGTCTAAAGAGATTAGACCTTGGAGGCCTGAGGCTCCCAGAGATCTGCTGCTGAGACTGGAGCAGGAGCATCAAGGCTTGCCACAGCCCTCCCCATGCACCTCAGCCTCAGACCATGCCAGCTGGGCAGACAGGAGTGCTTATTGCCATGACTGGCATGCCCGGAATGTCTCAGCAATTTTGGTTTGGCCAAGCAGCTTCCTGAGCCTCAGCGAATATTGTATCATGTGTTTATTTTTAAGCTTATGAGAACATTCACCCGCTGCCGCCATCTGTAATACGAATCTGGCCGAACCCTCAGCCAACTGAGCCTAAGCATCCATCCTCATTCACCAAAGGCTGACAGGCCGACTGAGAGGTGAGGGACACAGCCCCAAGACAGCCAAGGTCCAGGGCAAGCTGAAGGCACAGGGTGCTGCCCTTCAGAATGCTCCCCTCCCAAGTCCCTGGCACTATTGTGGGGAAGGCACAGATGGGCTCCGTTGGCATGTGGCAGCCACCTCAGAAATGGCCCCTTTCTCTGGGGAGGCTGTTCCTACACAGGAGAAAAAGGGCAATCTATGTGACAGCCTTGTGGGCAATCAAGTCCCTCTGTTCTGGTGGATCTGGGAGAGTCCACTCCTTTCTTTGAGCTAGATGGCTTCTGAACTGACACTCAGATCCATTTCCAGGGTGATAGTATAGCTGGGTGGAGTAGATCAATGGAGCCAAGAGTCCATTCTTGGGAGTGAGACCCGGGGCAAGTCAGGTATCCTCATCTGTCACCAAGACATAAAGGTGCCAACTTCTGGGACTGGAACGATGGCTCAGCAGTAAAGAGCACTGGCTGCTCTTGCAGAGGACTGAGGTTTGATTCCTAGCTCCCACATGGCGGCTAACAACTGTCTCTAACTCCAGTTCCAGGGGATCTGATGCTCTCTTCTGTCCTCCGTAGGTAGGTATTGCATGACACAGGTGCATTTACATGCATGCAGGCAATACAATCATACACATAATAATAATACATAAAATATTTTTAAAAGGTGCCGGCTTCTGAGTATTACTGAATCAAGATATGGAAACCACTTACAATGGCCCAGAATAGGCATTCTCTTATTGGTTAAACCAGCTGCTGGTCCCTTCTTGCCCCTCCCACCCCCGTCTGCCCCTGGCACCTAAGAATGCCCATGAGAACCCTGCTGGGATCTAGGATTTCCTTTCAGGTACATTTTTTTGAGTTAGACCCTCGTCCTGCCTGGATCGTGTTCTGGTCAGTGAAGGAGGCAGCATCTCTGAGTCATCAAAGTCTGTCAGCATTTCTGTGTCACCCCAGCTCCCCTTCAGGAGGCTTGGCGGTCATCCATTATCCGAGGGAGCCAGGAGGTTCCCTGCCCTAGTCGCTTCCCACTTCGTTTAGAAGCACCATGTGTAAGAAGTCAGAGTCAAGAGAGCCCCCGGGCATGGCATCATCCATTTCACTAGGACTTTTGGCTCCGAGTGCAGGCAGTCCTCAGTGTAGCCTCAGTCTGGCCTACAACTTTCCCACTTCATGAAGGTGTGAACAACATGTATCCAGGGGGAACCGTCCTTTGATTTTTTTCAGTTTTAACCTTTTTCTGGATTAGCAATACGTGGCACAGACCTCTTTCAGGATGCTCTGGGCAGTGAGTGCAGCTCTGGGTTAGGAGGCAAACATTTTAAACTCCCATGCTAAGCTAAGGTTGTAGGGAAGATGTGTGGTAGATTCCATCTATTAAAAGCAATGGTTATTTTGGCCTGTAACCCCTTCCTAAGTCAGGGAGCATTGGTAATTGGAGTTAGCAGAACCCTAAGTAGGCATTCCTAAGATGTCCTAGACTGTGGGGGGAAGCCAGGCCCAGCAGAGTGCTGGACAGGTGTCTAATGTCTGAGAGTAATGCCCTATCACCCCCACCAGAGTATAAGCCTAGGCAGACAGAGTGGGGGTGAGGTGGGGAGTCTCCTGAAGACCAGAGTGTCCACCCCCTCCTGCTTTGTATATGGTGGTGCCCTGCAGTCTTTCTCGACTTCAGGGCTGTGCCAAGCAAGGGAGAAATGTTACTGGCAGAAGTCCACCTTGTGCCAGGGCCTGCAACCCCTTTACTAGGTTGCGTTCAGTTGTAGAAAGACAGACATTAATTCCAGTGGGTGCTCTGACAAGATGAGCAGTGACCTGCAACCAGCCAGGCAGCGCTAGCCTGAGGCCTTGGAAGACTCAGGGAAAGGACAATCGAGGCAAGAACAGGCCCCACAGGAAACCCACTGTCCTCCTCTGTCTCTCAAGGCAAGATGCTGAGCATCTTGTCACTGAGGCCCGGACATCCTGGTCATATGAAACAGGGCTCAAAAGTCACATTTATCCCCACCAGTCCTTCTCACTGGGGACCATGATAAATAAGATGTGTCCTGACTCTGGGGATTCTGACTGACAGGTCTGGAACGGAATCCAGGAGCATGTATCCACATGTGGCTCTGGCAATGTAACTACTCTGAGAAACACCAGTGTGGATGTGTCTGCCTTTCGCAGTTAACTTAATCATTGGAACACAGTGGGTTTCTTTATTTTTTGAACCTTGATATGGATACATAGCCAAGGTGACCTTGAACTCCTGATTGTCCTGCCTCTACCTCCCAAGAGCTAGAGTTATAGGTATGTACCACTACACCCGGGTTATGCCATGCTGGGGATAGAACTGAGGGCTTCATGCTTGCCAGGCAGGCACACATCCAACTGAGTTATGTCCCCAGCCCCGGCAGTGGGTTTCTGATGGCTTATCTGGGTGTCATGATGGCTGTCCCCACAGACCCTCTAACAATAGAGCAGCCGCAGCCTATAACCATGAAATCTAAGCTCCTTTAGCGGAACTCTTTCCTCTGAGTGCCTGCCTGGTACAGGGCTGGTTGCCCAGCAGTCGACTCTGTGTGGCATTTACCAGACTTCCAGTGTGGACCAGACTCCTACCCATAGTTCTGGGCAGGGACATCAGACAAAAAGGCCAAGAGACACGGTCCTTCTACCTAGCTCTCTCTCCCCACAATCCACCTTGTGTTCAGCTCCAGGACACACACTGACCATGCTGCAATTCCCCAGTTACACACACTGGAAGGCAGCCTGGCCCCTGCCTTTGCCCTTCCTTCATGGAATGAGAATTCTGATCTCTTAAACAGTCTGTGTCCCAGCTTTCCCATGCCCTGCCCAGGCTAGGCATCCAGAAGAGTCCAAGGAGGTCTCACCCAGTCCTATGTTTAGCTTCAGTCACATCCACGATGCTCCCAAGGCACAAAGTAGAATGGTCCCTGAGGACCCAGTGGGGCTGGGTGACCTGACTACATTCCCTATTCCTTGAAGCCTGGTGGGGCATCAACATTCTTGACCTCAAGACTTGAAGGAGTTTAGAGATGCCAGTACAGGGATGCTGGCTTCCAGGGAGAGGACTGGCTCCACCCTCTCTCAATGCTCTGTGGCAGTGGCTGGACCTAGCACAGCCAGGCTGCTGCTACCACTCACCTTTATACTGCGGGGTGAAGCACCTCATGGCCAGTGGCAAGGATTCGTAGAACTGTTGTTCCTGAGAGATGAGGGGCTTGCACACAGTGTGTGCATCATACTGCATCATGCTCAGGTGGCCCCCGACCTGGTGCAGGAAGGGCTCCAGCCGTACACCCACCCCAGTGTCCCTTACGTCCGTGTTGTCCTGCACCACCATGGTGTCACAGAGTCCTCGGGAGGAAGGCAAGAGGTGGAAGTCCGTGGTTCCTGGATTTCTCTTTGGCCTGTACTAAATGTCACAGAGCAGATGTCTCCTGCAACTGGATCTCTGGGAAAAAAAGAGGAAGGTAGAAATTATAACAGGAAAGAGATATGTCGAGTGGGTCACTGCGCTGGGTAGCTTTAGTGTCAACTTGACACACCTGGATAGAGGGAGCCTCAATTTCAGAATTTCCTCCATTGGACTGGCCTGTGGCCATGTCTGGGGGGCATCTTGGTTACTGAGTGATGTGGGAGGGCCCGGCCCACTGTGGGTGATGCCACCCCTGGGCAGGTGGGCCTGTGTTGCATAAGAAAGCAGGCTGAGCAGGGGCCAGGGAAGCAAGCCAGTAAGCAGTGTTCCTCCATGGCCTGTGCTCCAGCTCCTGCCTCCAGGTTCCTGCCCTGAGTTCCTACCTTGGGCTCCCTGATGAACTGTGACCCGGGAGATGTAAGCCAAATAAACCCTTTCCTCCCCAAGCTGGTAGTTGTCAGAGTGTTTTGTCACAACAATCAAAGGCAGACTAGAACAGTCACCCATACAATCCCTATCTACACCCAGGCTAGATCCTGAAACAAGACTGTAAATTTGCATCTCTTGATTCTGGAATAATCTTTCATGAAAAACTGTCTGCCTCCATGGAGCAAAGGTGAGAAGGAGTCTTTAAATATCACCATGCACCTTTTGAATTTAAATATTAGAAGGTTAAAAAAACATGGAACAACATACCCATGTGTAAGCATCCACAGCTCAGAGTCTGGGCCTGACTTCCCTTGCTGTGCTGTCATTCTTCCTCTGGGAACATCGGCCTCAGCCCAACAAGAAGCAGGCAGAGCAGAGCTGAGCGCTCACTGCTTGGCAGCAACGTTTTATTTCTGTATGGCAAAGCTCTGCTCCATTGATCTGTATTATGCCTGTAATATATGACTGTTGTGTGACCTTGAGCAGGTTACTAAAGTCTTCTGGGCCTCAGTTTCTCTATATGTAGAACAAAATGATAGTGCTATCTACCTTGTGGAGTCGGGCAGAATTAAGAGAAGGATGTGGATAATTCTGCCCAGTGTCCACAGCAAAGTGCTGGGTATTTGGTTGTATCATTTTGATTTCCTGCATCAGTGCCTCAGTGTTCCCAGGTCCCTGCAGCTCTGGGTTGCAGCATAGAGAGGCTCTACTATGGTGACCCTGCAAGGTGGGTCAGTCCCCCCACCCCAGCTCTGCTGTTTGCTTTGAGCTTCCCACGTTGGGCTTGCCTTATCTAGAACAAATGCTGGAATTCTGGGCTGGAAAACAAGTCCCTAAAGTCGTTCTGACTTTGTCTCTGGAGAGTGCCAAGGAGACCTCCAGAGAGGCTCTTCCACTGTGTGTTTGTCCTGTCTGAGAGGACATTCCCACAGCAGGGCCGTCACCACAAGTTATTAATACTTCTCCCTCAGCTGGACTCCTGGCCGCTGTGCGACCAGGCGGCACTGGGCATCATTAACCCTCTAATTGACCTTCACTCCAGACCCTGGGCATGGCTGGCTGGCTCCACACACAGCGGCACCCATCAATTTGTTCAGGCCCTGGGCTTAGAGAGACTCGGCCAGCTGCCAGAACTGCCTGCATGCCAGGGTGTTGAAAGCCTCAGTCTGCCCCATTCCTGTCCTCACATGGGGCCCTTTCACCAGCCCCTGTCCTGCAGATGGCACCTGTAAGGGGCAGGGGCAATAGGATGCAGCCTCTGCCTGGCACCTATATACATCTGTCTGGCAGACTGGGGAGCCATCGGGGGAGGGGAGGCCCAAGACATGGGCCAGGGACCCCAGAGAGGCCTTTCCAAAGTTCTGCCCAGAGGCAGAGAGGATACAGGAGGGACCTCTGGGAGCCTAGAGAAGTTACTGACATGACAGTAACTTCCTAGACAGGAAGAAAAGGGGTTATATGTGGACAGGGAGGGAAGGGGCCCACAGACCAGTGGCAACTTTAGTTTGACAGCCCCTCCATATGGATAGAGGTATTGTACCTTCCACCCCATTACCTGCCTGTCAGTCTGTGCCCACTCACCTGTCCCCAGGCAGAGGCACTTCTGGTCACCAGAGGGACAGCTAGCTAGTCTGTGAAGTTCATTTATAGCCACTCCTGGAAGGAGGCTAGCCTATCGTCTCTCACACTTGTCCTCCCCTGGGCCCAGCCCCACACTTGCCAGGTATGGCTTCTCCAAAGCTAGCCTAGGCCTGCCAATGTATCCCATGTGTTCATGTCCCTCATGGTGCCACAAACATAGTACTTGCTGTATGCCACTCAACATTCCAGGTACTTTAGATTAACCACTTAAGGGGCTGGAGAGACGGCTCAGTGGTTAAGAGCATAGACTGCTCTTGCAAAGGACCCAGGTTCGGTTCCCAGCACACGCATGGCAGCTAACAACTGTTTGTAACTCCAGTTCCAGGGGATCCAATGCCCTCTTCTGACCTCTGCAGGCATTGCAAGACACAGCAAACTTACATGCAGGCAATACACTCATATGTATAAAATTTAAAAAAAAATTTAGATTAGCCATTTAAGCCTCACAACTACCCTAATTACCCTATGAGGTAATTAGTGCTAGCAGCCCAATTTCCAGGTGAGGAAACTGAGGCACAGAGAAGTTTGAGAGCCTCCCCTCTGTGCATCAGTCAGTAGAAGAGCAAAGATTTGAACCAAGGCCCATTAGCCCAGAGTGTGCTTACCAGTTCCCAGCATGATTAGAGCTATCACTGATGTCCAAGATCTATTATAAAAGCTAGGAAACAGCCCCAGAGAGACTAGGACTTGGCTAGAGTCACCTGTAAGTCTCAGGTAGTCCTGGGGCAGGTTTCACTGTCCCCAAGCCTGGACACTGTCCTGCACCTCACTGAATGACAGTAAGTGCCCATCCTGGAGGGGTGGCTGGGGAGGAGAGACTGTCATGTGGGGATAGGCAGGGGCTCCAGACCGCTTCCCAGCTGTGATGTCAGCCACCCGAGGGGAGTGCATCGCTGTCTGCACTGGCTCATTTCCACCCCAAGGCTGGCCGCTCCATCCTGGTTGTGCTTTTTCTGAGGGTACAGTTGACAAGAGCGAGCCCTGCAAACTAGTGCAGAGCTTCAGCCCTGAGACTGGGCAGGGGGACAGTGATCTGGTGAATGCTGGGCTTGAAGATAGGGAAGCTGAGGTCCTTCTCCTTGCAGGATCTTAGGGTGTAGGTCAGGTGGCATCTGAGGGTCTTCTGAGCTGTGTGGTCTGCAGTTCTGAGTGCGGTGGGGGCAGCTGCATGGTGGGCTGCGGCTGGGAGGTGACCCATGGCTTTCCCTGGGCGCTGGTACTGACCTTGGAAGTCTGAAGTTTTCCCCTCTGCTTCTCTCTCTGTGTGTGGCCTGCAGCCCTGTGGGACTGAGGCAGGGATGGCTTCCATCCTCCCAGTCCTTTCCTGGAAGACCCAAATCAATTACTTCGGCAGACAGGCCTTTCTGAGGCTATTTCTGTCATCTGAGTGGGTCTTAGATCTCCTCCCCCAGGCCCTGCTCTGCTTCCTACAAGTCAGGAGCCCTAGGTCTATTGTGGGCACTCCCTCCTCTCCCCAGTTCCTGTTTGCTGAGGCCTGAGGATGAGCTGGTGACGTCGAGGCATCTTGTTTCACCGCCCACTGCTGCAGTCTTGTCACAAGGACAGAACACACAAGGCTCCTTTGTGGAGTTTGCTCCACGAGGGTGGCACTACATCGGTTGTTCTTAAGATGACTGTGAGTCAGCTGGGGTGCTGGGAAGGCAGATGGGGCGCCTCCCCCCAAATTTTGGCACACTCACTGGAGACCCTGAGCTGCTCCCGGAGGAGATAGTGTTCCTGTCTCCGGTCCACATCTCTTCTCACAGTCCCACAGCCCAGGTCCCTTGCCTGGTATCCTCAAGAGCCCTTGGGGAGGTCGGAGAGGGAGCACAGATGAGGGAAGACAGGAGGTAGGGAGCTGCCTCCAATGAGAAGGGCTCAGTAAAGAACTGTCCCTCGCCCCAGAAAGTAGACAGATGGCCTCAGGTCCCCTGTGCCTGGGTCATGTCCTGAATGAAACAACTCTGGGCCTCACTCCAGAGACTTAGGGGCTAACTTGGGCTGCTGGGGTGGTCATTGGGCTGGCCATGGGCTGGCCATGTCAGGACAAGCCCTGCCATGCTGCCCTACAAGGCCTGTGTGGCAGCCAGTATGCCTCTGGGTTGGGAGACACTCCCTGACCCAAAAGGAGGGTCTTGACAACAGGCCTGTATCAGCAGTGAGGATTTCCAGGCTGTGGGTGAAGGTACGACCCCACCCACCACACCACCCCAGCCTGATCTGCAGATTAGAAAAGCAGTTCACAGGAAGTGGGGCCATTTCCCAAGTGCACGTAAGCACTGTGATGATTACCAAAACACAAATTCATTTAAAGGCATTATCCAATTCCTAGATGTTTTTGTCATCATTTATTTTCTCAATCAGCAGATACTGAAAGTGTAACAAGTATTGCATAGTTACTGGTAAGGGGAAAATTATGTTGAAAAATGAGTCCTAGGGGCTGGGGAGGGGTAGCTCAGTGATAGAACAATTGTGTAACATTCACAAGGACCTGGGCTCAAGTCTCAGCAGCACGAACAGACAAACTAAAGCAACAACAGACAGTATGTTCTCTCTCATGTGGGAAATTAAAAAAAAAGTTGACCTGAAATTACAAGCTAGGGACCGGGAAGGACAGCGGGGGATGGGTGTGTGTGTGTGAAGGCTGAGTTAGGGTAGATATGAATTAAGTACTCTGTATACATGCGTGGAACCGTAACAATGAATCCTATTAATTTTTATAATTAATACATGTTACTCATAATGAGAGTTCTTATGGAAAGGTTAGGGGTGTTACTGTGCTCGGCTGAGGTGGGAGAAGGATGAGGGGCCTAAGAAGGGGCCAGGAGCAGGGGAGAGGCTGGCTCAGCCTTGGGGAGCTTGGAGAGGGTCTGCTTTAGGGACTGTGTGTAGGAGGAAGCAAAAGACAGGGCGGGAGGGGAGGGGCATGGAAGGAGCGGGAATGTGGGCCTGGTTTACATCTGCCCTAAGTAGGCAATGGAGGGAGCTGGAGGGTGGGAAGCCCTGCCTTGCCTGTTGGAGAAGCTTGCTAGGGATACTGCTGGGGAGGTGGCTCAGTTTGTAAAGTCCTTGTTGCATGAGCATAAAGATCTGAGTTCAATCCCCCTGTCCTGGCTTGTTTCTCCATTGCTGTGACAAAATACTCTGACCACTACTAACTTGGGAAGGAAAGGGTTTATTTGTCTTACATCTCTTGGGTCATAGTTCATCAGGGAGTCTAGGGCAGGAACCTGGAGGCAGGAGCTGAAGTATAGGCCGTGGAGGAACGCTGCTTACTGGCTTGCTCTCCTGGCCTGTGCGCAACCTGCTTTCCTATACGACACAGGGCCACCTGCCCAGGAGTGGCACCACCCACAGTGAGCCAGGCCCTCTCACATCATTCAACAATCAAGAAGATGCTCCACAGACAGGCCAGTTCAATGGAGGCAATTCCCCAGTTGAGTCTCCTTCAACCCAGGTATGTCAAGTTGACATTAAACCTATCCCACACACCCGGGCACCCACTTAAAAGCCAGACACAGAGGCACATGCCCATCATCCCAGCACTAGGGGGCACAGAGACAGGAAGATCCCTGAGGCTTGCTGGCCAGCCAGACTAGCCAAATTGGTGAGTTCCAGGTTTAGTGTGTGATCCCAACTCAAAAAGTATAATGGACAGGTGATGGAGGAAGACACCTGTGTGTGTACACACACACACACACACACACACACACACACACACACACACGAAGTTTGCTGGACCCTTAGATCAGCCTAGGAAGGGAACCGTCCCCTGAGATTATGGAGGGCTGAAGCCTTTGAAATCCCATCAAGAAATATCTCAGGTGATGCCTGAGGGTGTTCTGGGGAAGACATTATTAAGAAAGAGGCTGCGGTAATGAGGCTGCAGTAGAGCCTGGCAGGCCACACAATTCAAAAGCAGCATGGTTTATGGTGTGCTCTCTCGCCTCCAAAGCGACAACGTCCATTTCACAGGCACCTCAGAGCCAGTGGTTCGGGACAAGTACCATTCAATGTTCGCGCGGTGCCCGAGGGAGCATCTTTTTAATCTATTAGAGATGAGAGGACCCGAAGCTCATTTAAAACTGCTTAGGTGGTTACGAGCAGGGGAGCTTTGGAGTTCCTCACAGAACCAAGGACCATGCATTATCTGAACCCATCCAGGCTGCGAAGGCACAGGCTTATTTTTCCAGAAGGGGAAAAATGGCACTTGCAAATCCATTCTAAAAAACAACTCAGGGGCTGTAGGCCTGGCTCCCTCCCCTGCCTGGCACCCTGGCTGGGTGGGATCAATATGGAAGGAGTGCTGGGGGACTTCACAGATCACCTTCCCCACCGTGGCTGAAATATGTGTCTTTAGAGAGCATCTATTTTCCAGAAAGGCAGGATTCTCAGGTTTACATGGCCATTCCTCATATGCCGCAGACACAGAAACATTTCACTGCCGATTTTATCCTTTGGGAGGGAATTTTTTTTCCTCCTTTCCTTTTCTCTTAATGTTTAAAATCTCCCAATGTTTCTCCAGCTTGAGGACCAAATACGATTTTAATACTGTGATGATTAGTCTGGAAGCCCTTCAGCCACTGACAAATGTGCTTAGCGGCTCCCACAATGTTCTGAGCTTGCCACTCAGAGAAATGGGGAAAGGATGACTGCAAGTGCAGGGCGCCCTGCAGGGGCTGCTCCTAAGAGGCAAGGCTGGGTCCTTCTCCTTCCCCACCCACCCTGAGCCCCGACCTGCAAGTGCAGTGTCGTGCAGTGCCCAAGGAGGTCAGAAGAGGGCATCGGATCCCCTGGAACTGGAGTTATGGATGGTTGTTAGTCACCATGTAGGTGCTGGAAATTGAACCCAGGTCCTCTGCAAGAGCAGCCAGTGCTCTTAACTACTGAGTCATCTTCTCCAGCCACCAGAAACATTTTTTTTTTTTGGAGACAGGGTCTCCCTGTAACCCCAGCTGCCCTGGAACTCACTATGTGGACCAGGCTGGCCTTGAACCCACAGAGATCCACCTGCGGCGTGAGCCACCATGCCCGGCATCAGAAACATATTTTTAAAGGTTGGAGTACAATAATGGAAAGGAGCATGAATGTGTATTTGCATGCATGTATTGTGGTGTGTGTGTGTGTGTGTATTCCTTCCCACCCTGCACTGGCGAGCTCTGGAGTGACTCTCTCAGGGGGACTGCAAGGACAGCCTCTCCTCAGCAGAGGGCAGCAACACACACATTGATGCCAGGAATACCCAGAGAGGGATTAACGCTGTCTAAAAGCTAAAGCCAGCACCCACCTCCACAGCCAGAGGACATACTCTTGGGACACCCTGCGTTTGCCCAGATCTGTCCCCAAGCACAAAGATGGTAGCTGAAGTTCTCCTGCCCCTACCTGGCAGGTGTCTTTAAAAAGCTCTGAAGTTGTCATCGAGGCTGGATTCTGTCTCTGCTTACCACTCTCCACTCCCTGCTTTACCAGGCATGAAAGGCTGTGTGTTTGTTTGTGTGTGCACTTGACCACACAGGAGCAGAGCCCCAGTCCTTCTTCACCTCCCACCCAGTCCCCACACCCAACAGGCTAACCCCACATCCTCTTCTGCCATCTAGGCCTTCTCTCATTGACTAAGGAAGGGGAGCTGGCAAGGGGCAGGGAAGACCAGCGCAGCACCCAGGAAGCCCCATCCCCCATCCCTGCCCGCCCCACCCTCTGCTCCCCCCTCCCTTTACCAGCATGCAGGTTTTCTTCCCTCCCCACATCCCCAACAACCTATGCTCATAAAGTTTATTGCTGTTCCCGGCGGCTGTGAGTGAACAAGACAGCAACCATACGGATTTCTACCTAGGAAGGATTTATTCAAGTGCCCTGCTCTGAGCAGGAGGGGCTGCTGCTGGAGAGGGTGGGCTCCAGCCCCAGAGTGCAGAGGGACAGAGGACGGAGGGGGCCAGGGGCCAGAATGCACCAGGGGCAGAGAAGGCTTTGTTCAGGTCCCTGATAGAGCCTAGTAGGGCTGGGCAAGCCAGGAACCAGCACAGGAGGGACTCCTGCTTCAGACTCCCCATCAGCACCAAGGACAGTATGACCCAGCCACATCCTTACTGTCCCATGGACAACAGGACCTTCAAGCTGGTGGGTGGCAAAAAAATGGAAGGATTTAGAATGGTGAGGCCTTTCCAGACTGAGAGAGATGAAGATTTAAGAGATTTAAGATTGCGGATGGGCTCTTGGTCTAGCAAAGAGTTAATTAGGTAACCAGCTTCCTCTGGGCGCAGATGTGCAATTTGTCAGTGGGATCATGGTACTGGGGTTTTATAAGAACCTAGTGAGATGCACTGTCCATAAACAACTTTAGATTGCTTTTGTATTAGTTCTATCTGATGAAGCAAGGCAAGACTCAAAACAACTTCTCAGAGCCAGGTGGAGGCTATGCAAGTGTTTCTGACAGCATCCTCTCTCGAAGCATTTTTCATACTAAAAGATTAAGAAGCTGGTAGCTTTGAAATGTAAGTAATGTAGGCATGGTGGTGCACACCTGTAATCCCTGCACTTGAGAGGTGGGGGCAGGGAGATCTGGAGTCCAAGACTAGTCTGGGCTATATCAAAAATTTAAGGCCAGTATGGGATACCTGAGACCCTACCGGAGAGGGGGGAGGGGGAGAGGGAGAGGGAGAGAGAGAGAGAGAGACAGATTGGGTCCCATTCCATGGCCAGAGGACCTTGGGGTCACAAAGGAGACTGGAGGATCCATGGAGATAGGTCCCCAAGACTCTGCCACTGTTGAGGGGAGCAGACAGTACCAGCCTCTGGGTTGATTGCTCTGTCGCCGGTGAACACCTCTGTCCAGAGTGCCTCACCCTCTCCAGGGGACAGTTTGTACCCAGGCTCCAGCTACTGCCCACAGGCACTGATGTCATCCATGGCCCTACCCAGGCAGAAGGGTGGGGCTGATGGGACAGGACATGCCCCGCCCTGGCCCAGAACTCTGGACTTTCCTAGGACACCTGCTTCTGGGAGGGGTTAACCCAGTGTGGAGGGAAACAGCTGGCTCCAGCCCTGAACCTGCAGCCCACAGGCACCTTTGCAGGCCTAGCTTGCCCAGTCCTTCCGGCCTCCATGTGGGGGCCAAAGGGAGTGTTCCAGAACAATCCAAGAGAAGGAGAGGGGTCACCCCAAGGAGACAGGGAAAGATGGAAGAGGAACAAATGCCAACATATCTAGATTTCTACACTGTCCCAGCCCCCGCCCACCCCAGCACACACAATTTGCAGGCACATTCCAAGCCACCAGCCTCTCCACAGGGCAATCCCAGCCGGCCTACAGGAAGGAGACCCCATGGTGGGAGCCAGCCTGTGGCCAGGACACCCTCTCTCCCTCACCCTGGCACCATCAAGGGCTCTTCAAGGCTGTCCTCGCCCATCCCATGCCCAAGCAGCACTCACCAGAGCCTCCTTCTGGGGGTGGAGGGGAGTGCGAGGTAGGACGCTTGTCTCTCAGCGCCTTAGGTCTGCAGGTGTTGGGCAAAGGCCTGGCCCAGCTCACCACTCTGTCCACTGAAGTGGAGCTATCTGTCTGCCTGGGAGGGTTGGGCTGCCAGTGACTTGGAGAGGGAAGGCCACCTGACCCTTGGGCTGGCATACACAGCTGCCAGTTGGGTGTCTGCTGCTCTGAGGCAGGGCCAGGGGTCTGAGAGGGAGGGGGAAGAGAGGAAAGAAGAGGAGGAAGAGGAGGAGGAAGAGGAGGGGGAGTGGGAGGGGGAAGAGGAGAGTTCAGCTCAGCTGCCTGAGTGATTGACAGGCCCTGAGCACCATGGGCCAATTTCTACAATAATTATCTAGTTACTTATTTTTTAATTAAAAGTTCTTACATTTATTTATTATGTGCGCACATGTGCATGCCATTACATGCCTGTGGGGGTCAGAGGACAACTTGCATCTTCTCTTCTTTCACCATGTGGGTTCCAGGGATCAAACTCAGGTCATCAGGCTTGGCAGTAAGCACCTTTACCGGCTGAGCCATCTCCCCTGCCAAGTATTAATTTATTTAATGCTGGGGATGGAGCCTAGGGTGTCAGGCACACTGGGTGCTTGCTTTCTTACTGAGCTTACCTCCAGCTCTCCTTGGTTAGTTTTCAATCCCTGTTCAGAATGAAGGTCAAGGCTGGAGTGGGACCATGCCCTCTTTTTACTCTATCCCATTCCCAGCTACTTCCCTGGTTGCCTCAAGCTGTGGCTGCCCAGAGAAGCTCATGACAAGGTCTTCCCTCTGTCAACAGCCCATCAATGCCAAAAAGCACTGTTAGAAACCCCTGTGTGTGCCAGACCCTCTATGGGCTGCCTCAGGCTCCATAGATAAGCTTTATGGTCAGAACTGCAGCTAGGGCTTAGCAAGTGAGCCGGTGATTCCAGAATGTGGGGCTGGGGTGGGAGTGGGGGGACACCCACTCAGCTGAGAAGGGACCTCGAAGAAGTGACCACCTGAGACTCGTGGAGGAAAGGGGCCATGGGCTGAGTGGGGGAAGGAAGGTAGAGGAGGGCTGCAACCAGGGCAGGGCAGTCAGGAAGGGGAAGCTGTGCCCAGCGACTAGTGACCAGGAGAAATGGGAGCTGAGCAGGAGGGAGGAGACCTCACCCTCCACCCTTAGCTTCTCAGAGGAACTAGAGCACATTATACCTGAAGTTAGGCTCAGGGGTTTTTGTTTGTCTTACTACATAGCTCTGGCTGTCCTGGAACTCACAGAGATCCCCTGCCTCTGTCTCCTGAGTGTTGGGATTAAAGGCATGTGCCACCATGCCCACTAAGGCTCAGATTTGTCTCTCTGTCTATCTATCTATCTATATCTATCTACCCACTACTCTGTCTATCTATCTATCTATCTATCTATCTATCTATCTATCTATCTATCTATCTATCTATCTATCTCTCTCTCTCTCTCTCTATCTGTCTATCTATCTATCATCTATCCATCCTTTTAAAGACAGGGTCTCCCTGTAGCTCCAGCTGGCTTGGAACTCCCTATAGGAACCAGGCTGGCCTTGATCTCACAGAGATTCACTTGCCTCTATCCCCAAAGCATGGGGATTAAAGGCGTGCATCACTACACCTGGTCAGATTTATTTTTTTAGAGGTTGGCTCTGCTTTGAAGAAGGCAGACTGTAAGAAGTGGATTAAAAGCAGAGACCACAGGTGTCATCCTCCAGGTGGGCAGGGAGAGGGGTGGTAGTTTAGAAGATGCGCTTGGTGAGATCTGGCAATTGTGAGACCAGGGAGAGATGGTGTGATGGTGAAGGACGCCTTCAGGTCTAGGTGGCCTTAGACCATATTAGCTTCCACCCTTCAGGTTGTTCAATCTATCCTGGACATCGGGCCCATGCCCCTCAACACTACACTGGGTGCCCCTTGTTCCTCCTGACCCCTCCATGTGTGGGTGACAGTGTAACAGCATGGGGGCTTTCTAGCAGAGCCCCTGCCCTTGCCAACCTTGCTTGCCCCTGGTGTGGTTCAGTCTCTTTCTTATGTAGCTACAAGATCCTGTTCCTGCCCCTACTCCTGGTCCCCCAGCCCTGTGCACAACGGCCTTCCCATCTCCTTCCTGTGTCTCCATGTATCCATGGAGCACTCAGTTCATACAGATGGCCTTGTGTAGGAAGCCAGGATGGTATGCCCTAGGGTGAGATGAGAGTAAAACTTTTAAGTCCAGGCTACATTCTCTGGTAAAGGGGGGGGGGGGGAGAACGTTGAAAACAGCAGCTCTGATAGCCCTGTCTTGCAGATCACTGTAGGGCTAGCAAGAGAAATGTGGCCTGGTCAAAAGTTTAAGCTTCTTGCTCTAAGGGAAAGTGTCTTGGTCAACAGCCCTTAGCCCATCTCCCTGTCCTGAACATATAACTAACATTAGTTAAGAGATTAGGCCAGGTTAAAGGTTTACTCCTGGGCTAAAAGCTAAAAGTTTACCATGCTTTTAACCCTAAGAAAGAAAACACTGTGGCCAATAAATTACCAGATAGGCACTGGTAACCTTGAGTAAAAGTTTAAGCATCCTGCTTTACATGTAGCCCCTAGCTGGCACCTGTTTAAAAAGTTATGTGTCCTGTTTCTTGTCTAATTATACCCTAAATCTTTGTATGTAACTGCCAAACCCTACGTGACTTGCAGTTCTTTGTAATGCATAAAAACCTTCTGAATTTTTCAATAAATGGCTTGTGGTAAAGGAAAGCACAAGTCCCAGAGTCTGGGACTCTGTTGCAGGTCGGTATCGCCATCCATCAGGAAAGCAAGCTTCCCTGTTGAGCAAAGCAGACCTGGGTTTCCACAGCCTTGTCTTCTTCAATGCCTACCCACATTGGGTGGGGGGAGGGTGGCAAATAAGTCAGGGTTAGACCCAGGGGCTCCTGGCCCTTACCATGTGTACCATCTGCTTGGTGCCCTCTGTGCCCCTTCCAGGGTCTGGCTTGCAGGATCTGCTGAACTGATGTACTAGCGACAAGAGCCAGGAGGCCCCCTCCCTTCCCCTCTTCACACTGACCTCCTTTCCCACCTCCACAGAAGAGTCCTCAGCTGTGGGCCTCTTCATACCCAGGCAGGACTGTCTGCCCTACCACAGGAGTTCCCCACTGCCCTGAATGAACTCTGAAAGTGGGATGGGGTAGATTAGGGGATAGACCTCACTGGTAAAGAGCTTGCCTAGGCTCTATCCCCAGTACTAAAGAAAAAAAAGTGCTAGAGGATGCCTTATGCCTGCCCACTGGATCCTCAGCCAGGCTGACTGATCGAGTTTGCCAGGAAGTGAACCTCTCTTAGTTCCATCCCTCCACTGTCCAGAGTATACCGGCTCTGATTACTAGCCTGGAAGAGGGTGTGATCTGCTTTCCCGACCTTCCTACCTCCCTTCTCTCCCTGGCTTCTCTCAGATGCCTGTTCTGGGAACCCTGGAGCCTCCCACAGCTGAGCAGGAGGCTGGGGGGCGGGGTTCCCACCTGAGCAAGGTGGCCTGTGTGTGGCTGAGCCTGGAAGAAACCTGGATCTGGAGGAGGGCCACTACTTGCTTCCTGTTTTCTGTTCTTGTTATAAAGAGCCAGGTCCCATTGGACTTCTTTCTCAACTGCTTAACATTATTGTACCCTACTATGTGACAGAGATACAGCTGTCACCAAACACTGGAGCCAGCTGTGGGAGCTTTCCATGACGTAATGAAGGAGGGCGATTTATTTCTGTCCTCTGCCCTGGCCAGGCTCTCACTGTGCTATTTTTCTGAAGCTTGGCCTCACTTTCTGAAATGTTGCTGCTCAGTTTCTCTCCAGGACCCTCATCTACCCATTCCCCCCATCCCAACATAGGCATTCCCATCTCTCTTGCTCCGGGAGACATCAGCCTTGTTCAGCAAGGCCCTCTCTCTCCTGGGGACTACAGCGTCCTAGCCTACCTCTTTGATGCCATGTGTTCAGGGCTGGGGCTCATCTCTTTGGAATGGGCTGGTCACTCCCTAAAGGACATCCCCTTCTGTAACCTTTTACTCATCATTAAGCTCCAGACAGCTCTCTTACCCTTGCTGGCTACCATACCTCTATCTCTCCATCCTCAGAGTGATCCCACTGCTCTTTAGGCCTGCCCCTACAATCTATTCACATTCTGCAGGGGCTCCTTGTCCTTAGAATAAAGTCCCAATTCTTTCCCAGAGCCCAGCCCCTGCCTCACTGCTCTGCCCTCACTCACCATGGCCCAGCCACACCCTCCCCATACTCCTGACCAGATGGCCTTCTCTGCCCAACTGACTCCTCCTCTCCTTCAGATGCCAGCTCCAGAACCACCCCTCCAGGAAGCCCCTGCACCTCCTGTCACTGCTGTTTTTCTTGAGGCTTTGTGCAACCACTTCCTGAGGTCCCTTCTCCCCCAGAATTGGGACTTGGCTTGTTTTGCCCAGCACTGTTCTTAGCACCCACCCCAGTGTCAACTTTCCCATAGGTGTTTGCTCACCGAATGAATGAATGAAGTATAGGCTGGTTCTGTTTCTCTGGCTTCCCCTCTTAGCCTCTCAATGTGCAGCCTGCACAGTGGGGGTGTCCTTTCCCCTTCCTGGTCCTGGGTAATGGATATCTCCAGACTAGGTCTGTGGCCCTGAGGTGTCCCTCCATGCCAGCTGCCCCGTGTCAACTTTCCCATAGGTGTTTGCTCACCGAATGAATGAATGAAGTATAGGCTGGTTCTGTTTCTCTGGCTTCCCCTCTTAGCCTCTCAATGTGCAGCCTGCACAGTGGGGGTGTCCTTTCCCCTTCCTGGTCCTGGGTAATGGATACCTCCAGACTAGGTCTGTGGCCCTGAGGTGTCCCTCCATGCCAGCTGCCCTTGTTCTTGCTCCCATGACCCAGTGTTTCAACAGCAACTTCAGCGTCCAGGATGTGTCATCATCCCGTCCTGCCTCGTAAACATGGGTGACTGCTGACCCACCCAGGTTCCAGAAAATGCTCCTCCTCCAGGTGGGTGTGGTGGTGCCCATAATCATAACACTTAGGAGGTGGAAGCAGGAGAATCAGGAGTTT